TGTGGTAGTTTTATTACAAATATGTTTTACATATATTTATAATAAAGTTACAAAATTATTTTTCTAAATTGTTTAATTCTCTTATAAAATATAAATATAAGAATATACGGAAAATATAGAAAATGCGGAAATTTATAAAAAAATAAAAGAAGAGTCAATTAAAAAAATTTATTAATAGATATTTAATATGTCGATTCGTGTTGTATTTGATATTACTATTAAATTTGTATTTATTAATTATGTTAAAATAGTAGAATATTATTTAGAATAATCTAAATCGCAATAATGAGACAAAAACGAGGACAAAAATAATGTGTATTTTATTGCTAAATAATAAAGTTTGGTGTTCCAACAAATATATTAACACACTATTGACTGGAGATCAATTCGTTTTTTGTTGTCCAAAACACAGGTTCGTTTGTTGACTGATGATGAGTTCACTATATTAATTAAAGCGACATACAATTTAAATAATTGTGCGCAGTTGTTACTATTTATAAAGTTAATAAAATTTATTTATCATAAGATTTTTGATGTACTTATCCTTTATTTTTTATTATTTTTTATTTTTGAGTGACTTTTTGTTTAACATAAACGAAATTTTGTTTTCGTTTAATTTTTTGAAATAAAAAATAGATGATTACACACAAGCACTTTTTAAATAAAGATATTCGATCAATAATGTGTCAATACGTCGCGATCACAATATCATCTAATGATTCAAAATTGAAATTTCATCTCTGCTTATATCGAATGTCGATATAAGCAGAACCGAATATCGAATGTCACAGCTTTTATATCTATTTATAAAATATCTAATAAAAATATCTAATCTCATATCCGTTTATTTATCTTTCCGTCGTCAAACGAATAAACGATGTTTTAGTTCCAAAATATCGCGCCCGCGCCCGCCGACGGTATAAACATATTAAAACTAGGATATTTTCTTGTGCGGTGACAAGCAGCGTGGGAAACCTTAACTTTTTCAAGATTTATATGTTATTCGCGTGAGTAAAAGAATATTCATTACGCATTAAAGAGAGTTTCGGGCGAGACACTTGTCTTCCATTCGAGAGCGGCAACTTTTATCCACGCTACACTCGAGTGGCCCAATGAAATCTTTTCCCTAATACGGGGATGAGGAAGAGCTTTATCTCTTGCTTTAAAGTTCAAAACTTCATCTGCGGTGGCAATTCCAAAATTTCCTCTTTAAGCTCGGATGAAGCGAACGTAAGCGTGCCCGTATCGATCGATAAGTCTCTCTCGTGCTTCTTCTTTCTCTGTTGCTCCCTCTCTCCTATCCACTCCTTTCCCTCTTCCCCTCCTCTCTCTCTCTCTCTCTCTCTCTCTCTCTGGGATGCGGCAATTGTATACAACGTAACCAATGACGCAAAGCTATAACATGCACGCGTGAAATTAAACGACGACGTGCGACGAATGTAATGTTAGTTTCTCGTGGGAATATCTAATTTTTATGAGCCCAGCACATGTCATTGGGACAGCTTGTCTCACCGTGATATATGATACCAAAATAACATACTATTTTTGTGATCTCCTCTTTAATTTATCTCTTTTTTCTTCCTCTCTATTTTTTGATAAATAAACCCTGTATTTTAAGTGTCGTCGATTTCTCGCTATAAAAATGCTCCACTCCATGCAGTCGCGTGATGTTTCGCTGTATATTTCATAGTAATCTTATTTCATTAAAATATATACGCCGCGAGATATCGCAGTAATTTGTATTCTTAAAAATGCAAACGACGTCCGCGAGATCAGCGAGATCCGAAATCTGTGGAAAAAAATCCCAATTCGCAGAGAGAAAGAGAGAGAGAGAGAGAGAGAACAAACGTGGGGAGAGAGAGAGAGTATTATTTCACTTCCTTTTTTCTCATGCGGTTTCCGTCGCGTCAGCGGATTCACTGCGGATTTAACGATGAAATTGTTTACCGATCGTGACGCAATTAGTTCGGGCCCGAGTATTACTTTTATAATTCTAGATATATTGCGTCGATATACATGTAAATTGTATCAGCCGATGAAGCGTAAATTTATATTGGCGAACGAGATATTATTAATTGTTCGGTGCTCGTCTGAATGTACATATCGCCGTTTTTCGAGCTTATTTAGCAAAAATAGCTACGAAAAGCGGGAAAAAGGGCAGGGGAGAGAGGCAGAGGGTGTATCGCCGCGGTGCGCAACACGTCACGCACTTTTCTTCCGAATGCGGTTCACCGACCGTTCGGTCTCGGCTGAACGATAACCGGACTCGGCGGAAAGGGGAGAGAGAGAGAGAGAGAGAGTTAACTGCTGCGGTCGCGTGACGTGGTAAGATTAGAGGCGCGGTTGCGTTTCGAAGTTAAGCCGACCCGGTTGCACTTGCCGGAGTTAAACCGCCCGCATTTCGCTCGCCCTTATTTAGCGGGCGCTCCGCGTTCCGGTACACTCTACCTTTTTACCTCGGAGGGGTGTATTTTTGCAAACTCGCGTTTCGCAAACCCCGACGGCTGCGGCTGCGGCTGCGGCGGCGGCTCCGGCGCGTTTCGACACGTTCGCGTGGAAGAGTAAAGAGCGGTCGCATGCGAGCATACATTTACATATATATCCGCGACACACGTATCGTGCGCGCTGATCTGCGTGCGATCAATTTTCAGGTACCCTGTACCGTGACACTTTTAATTTATCAGTTTAATTAACAGTATTTATGGCCGCGCTTGTCAATTACTGTGGAATCGGCATCCGCGTCGCGGCGCTGCGCGTTTTCTTCGCGTGCACGCTTGTCCCTCCCCGAAAATCGTAGAGCTGATAATAACATTGTGATTTATGTATGTATGGAAAAACCGATAATAAAGATGGCTCTGTGCAATGAATGGAAGTCGCAAATGAATTCCGATTTAAATGTTCTTTAATATTAATAGGATTTTTCGCAGGTCAATGGAATATATAGTTAAACAATTTTATTGTTATTTAGCATTTATTATTTTAGAACATTTATCCTTAATTTGACTATATTGAGCTAATTTGTTTCTTTTTTTAATTCCTTTGTCAGCGATTTTCATGCAATAAATGGGTGAAGACAGAGCATGGAAAGAATGTTTAAATTTACATAAAAATAGTGCGAAGTACTGTGGAATTACAATATGCAACGAGAGTAAGAAACATAAACAAGACTTGTATTTCAGCGCCGCCCGCGCCATTCCATTTTGTTTGCATCTCGAATTTTTCTAATGAATTCAGAATAACAATGCCTTACGAACTACAATCACGGAATTAATGATGTTTATCTCGTCTGTTGTATCATAAGTAGAACCATGAATTAAACGAAGAAATAATGTTATCCTCTTCTAGACGCTACCAGAACTTTTGTACCGCCACACAAAACACACTTGTATTACGAAACAGTATAAAAGAATAAACGGACTCGGCGGCGCCCTGTTAAATTGGGAATGGAGGATGGTCGGCACGCAGCTGAAAGGTCGAGCAGAACACGAATTTAATCAATTTTCGGCCGCACCGCAGCGACGCGGCCACGAGCGCAGCGATTTTAATTTATCAGTTTAATTAATGGGCATCTAGCGTACACAGAGTTGCCAATTAAAACAGAATCAATGTCATCGGGTCCCGCAAGTTCTTCTTTCGCGTCGCCGTCGCCGCGCCGTGCCGTGCCGCGCCGCGCTGCAAATATAGTAGAGTAAAAGAGGAAGCTCGGCGCCGCGCTCTTGCATATTGCGGAATCCGCAGACAAGCGGCAGAATCCGATAAAGTGACTGAAATATCGCGGGTATGTGTGTATATAGTGCTGAACGAACGTCGAACGGGCGTCTGCCGCGCCTTGTGGACGGGAAATGCACCGATATTCAACAGGGCGAAAATGCGCGCGCGTATACACGGCGGCAACACACTTTCGCGTGTACGAATTTCTGGAAACGTTAATAATCTATAGGGATATATAGGTCAAAAGTTACGAGGACGATGAAACGACGGGTGCGGGATTGCGAGCGCGATACGACCACGCACGAATTACTCTTGTTAACGTCGTACCCCGCCACGTATGCACATACGTATGAGAACGAGTTGAAGCTGGTTGCTATTAACGCATCTGATGATAATTAATCCCGCGTGCACGCCAACGTCCCGAGAGATACACCTTGCGTATCGCAATTTTGTTTATGAAATGGAAAAGTTTATACGTTGCGATGCAATCTTCGCTCAGCGTATCGTCACGGCCTTTGCTTACACATTAAAAATCAATGTAACCGATTTAATATTAAGTGGACATAATGCAACATAATTGCTACAATCGGGAAATATCGAAGTTTTTTAATCTTTAAATTTTCAGATTATCTTTTTTTGAGAGATTTTAAGAGTAATGTTTTTGTATGAGATTTGTACATTTTTCAGAGATATTGTCTTGGTTTTTTAAGAAATTGTCGTTTCTGAATTAAAGAATTTCTAAAAATTCGATATAAAAGAAAATGTAATAATAATAAAAAAAATACAGAGAAAACTTGGGATATCTTGTACAGATATTTGAAGTTCTATTTTTCTATTACATGCTTGTCATCGAGATGCAGATGGCGACGACAAGAATGCCAATAAAGATAAAAGTCCTGTCAAAATTGATCGCCTTTTATTTATTTCGTGACAAGAAAAACAATTTCGATATATATTTGTAAAACGAAATTACGCGTTGCGTATACATCAATCGACTCGTGTAAACATATTAAAAATGTAAATAATTTTAAACGTCGGCGTAATCAAACATAGCTGGCACAAAACGATCAATATTTGTTCATATTCGTGCAACGCATGTGGCGTACTGTAACAAGCTCTCGCGTTATAAGCGCGTAGAGACGAAAAGAACATCGATTTAAAAGAAAAACTGCGTGCGTGGCTGCTGCCTTATCGCAAGAAATTTCTGTTATTTACATTTATTAGCAGACTCGCTCGTGCCAGCATAAAGTAAGCGTTTCACTAATGCAGCATGCAGTGTATGTCCTTACCTTCTCTATTATGCACACGAGATTTATGATAGATCCTACGTCGACGTGATGCTCGTCGCTTCCTAATATAAACGCCTCTGGTATCACTATATTTAGATTGACGAAGTGTGACAGTATCCCTGCACTTCTCGAGACCTGGAAAATAAAAAATACGGCAACTGTGAATTGTTTTGCAGAAATAAATCGCGATATGTGACGATTGACGTATTACGAAGAGAATTTTAACGTGAAAAGAATCATATTAATAAAAAATATCGTAAAATCCAAAATTAAATTTGAAAACAGAAAAAGAAGAGCGATATTCGCGCGAGTTCTTTAATATTTCTCTAATTTATTTTATTTTAGCTTTGTGGAGGATGATAATATACATACACTGGATACATCCAGTTGGATCTAAACGAATCACAAAGATAAAACGAAAATATTTCCATTGAAATATCGGACTCAGCATAGTAGCTAAAAAGAGCTTCTACAACAAATACATACAAGAGACTATTTGTTCAAGTATTATTGACTGAAATATTTCTTAATTTTTCAGCAAATTGTGACGAACAGATTAATAAGTGCTCATCAATTATAGAATCAAAAGCTTTGTTAACAGCCATATTCACGTATTTATTATAAATTGGTGTAAAAAATTTTGTTTTAATTTTTGAATAGCGAGCACTTTAGATAACTTGTCGCGATTTGAAGATATTTTACATGCTTTCGGTCAGAATATATGCTTGGAAATATGCAAACGCACAATACGAAAGCTGAGTGAGCATTAATTCAACGGGTTTCGAGTGCATGGAAATCGGCTTATCGACAACTTTGTCCGAAAATGTGTTGTAACTCGAAATACCGGGTTTTTAAGTGCAGTCCTTTAAATATTTCAACGTAAAACTGAGTGCTTCTCTAGTAGTTTCAACCTTTTTCAACAAAAAATCTTAAAATGGATGAATATAGCATATATATAGATTATATATATAAATTTGTTTTCATAAAAATTTAATATGCTCCGTTCATTAATAATTCATTAATTATCAGTTCCCAGCAATCTTTCTCGTTACGCTGATTTAGTGACATTTAATTGTACAAAGATGTATATGAGCATACAGTACAAATATTGTATTATTTAATGAAACAGGCAAGTCGTTATCTTAATGAAGAAAGACGTACATAAATATTATCAAATTTTATTCAGTACTATTATTTTGTGCTTTGATAAGAATGCTTTGAGGAGAAAAACAAAGAACTTAATGATTTATTTGCGTGATTTATTTATTTATTTTATTTTTGGAGGTGATGCAATATTATAATCAATGTGAGAAAAAAGATTAAAAGGAAAAAAGAATATTATATCAATCTTTTCCCAAAAGTCTTCTCAATATCCATAGGAAAGACAGAAAAGAATTATCTCACGAAACGTGACTGAAATTATATAATTTAAAAATTGTAAAACATTAATGTCGCGTTGCAAAGATCACATTCTCAAATATATATAATATTTTATACTTCTTCCTTATACAATTTCGCTAAAACAACGCGAGCAAAAATATTACCGCTGCACCGTTTTCTTTCCACTTCATCTTTCGGTGATATTCGGGAAACAACGCGGATCTTTTTTCAAGCGCATTCGCTCGAAAAACCATTCCTCTATCCCGAGTACCGTGGGATGTCGCCGGATATACGTATGTCGTTTTATCGTGCGCCGGGATGCTGCAGAGAGAGAGAGAGAGAGAGAGAGAGAGAGAAAGAGCGTGCAGCTGCAGCGAACTCCGCGAGTCTCCGGGAAAGTTTGCCGCAGGACAATGGTCTACGTAGGTAGGTAGGTACACGTAAGTAGGTACGCCGCGCTCATAAAAAAGCATTATGCGAGTTTGAGAAGTGTATCGTTCCGCTGCCAACTTGGACGAGCGCCGGTCGCCTCCGACGCCGCGACGCGCGGAACTTTCTTCTTCTTCTTCTTCCTCTTCGCGTTTCGCTACGAGCGGCAGGCGCGCCGGACTGTGCATCCTCGGAACACATCTCCTGCGCATCGTGCGCCTGTACGGGCGTCGGCGGTAAAAATGTCACCGCGAATAAATATACAGTTGGATGCTGGCTGATGGTATTTTTTCTTTTTATCTCCTTTTTTTTTTAAACGCTATACGCGCGCGCCTTCTGGCCGCGTATACATTGCGGTTATGAAACGTCATGAAACGCCTGGCTGCTTTCGCCGTTCTCCGCTGCTTCTTCTTTCTTCATTTTTTTCGTTTTTACGGGAATATGCGACGGAGAGAGGAGAGAGAGAGAGAGAGAGAGAGGGGGGGGGAGGGGGTGAAAATCTCGACCCGTTGTATACGCGTTGTACATCCACCATTGTCGCGCGCGGGTGTATAATCGCATTAATAAAACGGTATATTCTATGGGCGACGCGTTATAATAGCGGTGCAAAGTCTTCTGTGCTTTTGCATGACAAAGGAGGAAATTGACAAGCGCTGATGCTCTTGTTGTTACGCCGGTGGTGGATGGGTCACTCTGGCGGTACAAAAGAACCGTGGATAGGAGACGAGAGCCCAGTTAATTAAATCCCTGTACGTTTAACTGTCTTGAAAAATCTGTTATTCGACAAAACGTTGTGTCCGTCGGCTATGAACCCAGACGACAAGCAATAACGAGTAATCGTTATCCCCCACGGCTAGGTATGGCAGTATTGTTTAATCGACTGATATTTCTATTATCGTATTTTATTATTTATTCTCGATCCAAGTGCATTTCGATTAAAAATAAATCGTGCCTATTCTCTTGAAAAATTCCTCTCAATCCTACCAGCAAATTTAAGATTAATTCTATAAGAATATAAGAATTATATATGTTTCCGTTTATATGATAGTTCTTTAATCTGTCGCTTCAGCCGCGTTGGAAGTCTCTAAAGGTATTTTTATTAATACAATTAATTAATTATTGACGTGTTGACATTTTCGTAAACGAAAGGGCCGACTCCGGAATGATCGAGGGCTTGCGCCGCATGAAGTATGGAGCGCGAATTTGCGGGCTACCCAATGCGATACTATATTCGCAGTGATATACTCGCTCACTTTGCCGGCGAACTCCATAAATACGATGCAGTTGCGCGTACTTGCTCTCGCTGCCTCTCGGCGTCAAATGAACGGTGGCGCGGTCAACATGCAAAATCGCGCGAATTAAAAGTATGTGCGTTCTGATTAATCGGCCGGCACGCGACGCCTGTTTACCCTCCCACGGTCTCCTCGATCGAGGAGAGCGCGCCCCGCATATTGTGCTGCATCGACCGCGCCCGAGCGTCGCGAGTGACGTTTATTTTCATCGCGCTTGAATAACGGCAGATAAATTTGCGAAGGAAATATTACCGCGCGCGCGTGCTTTTCTCACGAAATTTTATCTTGCCGCGGCAGAGGGAACGGCCGGGCTGAGCGCCGCTATAAATGTTGCGCCATGAATTTTGTCCGCGGCGGACGACGAGCTTTTTTGCCGGCTTTTCAAGATAAAATCGCGGACCATCTGGCGCGGATATGCGTTTACAATTACCGCCGCGTTGCGAATTGCCTATGTAAATGTCGTTCGTCGCGCTCGCGTTTCGAACTGAACCGCGAGTTCTTTTTTTTTTTTATTTTTTTTGTTCACGATTAATACACGAGCCGCGCGCGTCGTGCTGGCTCGGAATAACCCTCCGGCGAGGATTATCGACCTCGTGTATCGCTCGTTCCTCTCTCTTTCATCCCTTTTTTTTCCCTCCCGCTGCCTCCAAAAACGCACGGATACTCTTATCTGACGCACGGTGGGGATAAAAAAAAAATGACGTCTGTCACGGATCGGGCTCCTCGAAAATCTCGCAATTGTGCGAAGGAGAGCCGAGCGTCCCGGATTTTCAGGAGTAAGGCTCGAGCATATATCAGCCAGGGCCTCGTTTCCCCTTGCGAAACGCTTCACGGAAATACGCTCTTTACGTCGGCTTATTTGACCTCAGCCCAAATATATCAGAGAGGTTCCTTATGGCCACACACCTCGATGTGTTCGTGGCAGATGCAATTATCACACATTGACCTTTCCACAATAATAATAATACGTTTTGCCATTCATTTCATCTCTTATTCCATTTATATGAATTTTGCAAAAAAATTCATTTACGACAGACAAATTATCTATCTATTTAATACGCTTTCATTTAACAATTTCTCTTCATCTCGCTGTTTTGTAACTCACGTATTAAGATTTGTTATCTATCAGATATGCTATATTCTGTTTTTTTAATTCCCATTTAAATTACACACGGTTCTTAGAAAATAGACATGTTTGGAATGTGATGGAATAAAAATACCATATGATAAATCAATATTGTAGAAGTACAAATACGTATAGAACTAAAAAATCTGTTTGTCAAAAATATGAAATTCAAGAAAATCATATAACATTGTATATAATGATACATCGATAGAGAGAGAGAGAGAGAGAGAGAGAGAGAGTAGATGTCTCTCTCTATTTATGTTATTTTTCTCGCGCGCGCATTTTCTGTGCAGTGGCAAATATTACATAAATTTATTTTTCTCCTTTTTAAATATTATATAAACTTTTTTATAAAAGTATGTAAAATTGAACATATAGATTTTACTTATTCATTCATTGCTCTCATTTCATTTGATACCTTTTCGTATTTATTAGTTATAATCACGTAATAATTAAAAATATCTTCCGTTACAGCAAAATATTTTTCATGCAACCGGTTTTACAGTTGCTAGAGGTTTCGTAATCATGAAAATCCATAGGTATGACTTTTTCATTCGTCCCAGATCGTTCTCTCTTCCCATGCGTTGATTAAAAATTTTCATGTCTACAACACCAGTACCTCATATGTTTGCTCGCGTGCTTGAAAGTAGTAGCGAGAGCCGCAAGTTTTTCATTGCAATATTCTTACTTAACGCTCTATGTATAAAACTTACCGTACCGCGCTAATACACAACGGACACGCGCAAATTAGATTAATATGGAATTCGGTTTAATCAGTCGGATTATTACCTTTACAGTACATTAGCTATTTATTTGTTATTCTGAACGCGAGGATATCAATAAATAATTCTGCATTTATTAACGACTACTCTCATATATTTAATTGGAGCCACATGTGTTTCATGAAA